GCGGCCACACCTTGCAACTGTGACATTTCAAAGATCGCTCTCTTCAGGTGATCTCCTGATGATTCAGGACTTTCCTCCGGAATATGTGCAAATCGCCCAAAACTTCCCAGTCTGCAGGAGCAGGGAACACAGCACTGGGCAACCCAGAAAGACATCACTGCACAACCTGTTGTAACAGTGCAAAAAGATTAAATATCTTACCCAGGTTGTTTTCAGATCAGCTCATACCTTCATTTACAGCAGTTCATTATTTCACATAAACACAACGATCTACAGATACTGTAAGCTCCTCCTACTTACCACCATCTTGGAGATGCACCACAAAAAATGCTATTTGGCCTATGGTTTTCTGTTGATTGAATTAAAAGGTTGTTTAAAGTTGTTAAGTTATTACCTTATAAACATTTAAAAATCTATCATTATGGTCCACATTTTCCACACTCTCAAAAAACCACTAAAACACAGTTATTGTTTTGTTTTGTTAATAAATGTAAATAATGTTTTCAAAAATTATTTTACCATACAACATTAATTTAGACGCTGATGTACATTAAAAGAAAACTGTATATTAAAATCTGACTTATTCAAATGTATGTTTGTTTTGATTAACCAATAATTATTCAGAGGTATGGATGTATACTCTACCTTAGGTACGTCGACCCCTTCTTGAAGACTATTTTACTTATCATGACAACTTCATTTAAATACTTCATGTTGGGGTGGGGAGTCACCTACTGGTGTGACTTGTTTGAGTAGTTTACTCAGTTGCATGGGCCATGCACCTGTGGCACACCTTTAACAAAGAATTGTGGTATAATACCATAAAAAGGACTGATAAAGGGGAAAGTCCTCCAGGGTACTCCTTCCTTCTGAAGATTATTATTGATTAATGAAGATTGGTTATGTTTGATATTCTTTCATAATAACCAATATTTAGGGTCACGCTAACCGCAGTTTCTTCCCTGCAGCCGAAAACAGGAATCCGAGTATTAAAGGAGGCACATATCATGCAAAACAACTCCATATATGGAAGGATGACATATGTTATCAGTTAAATGCAAGATGTTAAGATAGATAGTTAGAATCTTTTGCAAAGAACCAGAGAGTGCTAGTAACTGTAGGCAAAAACAGGCGGTATTGTCTATTTGATGTGGAGTTTCAGATTACACTCGGAGATGTTCAACATAACGTTGGAGGTCAGATTATATACGGAGGGGACGAGGAGGCAAGAACGCAACAGCTGATTGGGAAAGAGGACCAACGGCTTACTTTAATTGGACGTTTCTCACTGATACTAGTAACGACACTGGGTCAAGGAAAGAGAGTAGGTGTGTCAGACTGTCGTTAACTGACACACGCCACTGTGTGTTGCTGGTCAGGGAGTGTGGCTAGGAGTTGGGAACCCGCAGGAGAGCTCTGGTGAGAACGTATGCACATGTCTACTGGTAGTAAGAAAATAAAAGCTGATTGTTTTGAACGTGAATCTTCTCCTACGCTCATTAAAGAACACCGCGAGGGATAAGGGTTGAAAAGATCTCCTGTTCCTAGAGCCACTTCAAGATTGAAAATACTTTTAAAGGGTGTAGTAAAAATTGGAGATTTTGGGAATGTAAGAGAAAAAGTAGTGAGCGTGATGAATAGTATATGCCAGTTCGCAGTTTTAATGGCCAAAATTTATGTTTCTGTGGTTTGTGCTGATAAAGTCTGTGTGGGAGAAACTGATTCATAAAAATTATGAATAGTTGCTGGCATTGTCTTTGGGCAACATATTCACACCTTATAATCAGATAGACCTATTGGTATTGATTGTAAACAGTTACACTCGATTAATCTATCAAACCTACAGGCATTCATAACATGAGATACTATGCTGACGGTTAAATATTTGCTCCTCCACTAAGGTCAATGGTTAAAAAAACAAAGCTTTCTGCTGTGTCCCATTTTGAATTCTTTTCATTTTTCATTTTCGTGAAACTGGTTGTATGAAAACCGAATCAGAACAACATTTATGAACACAGATGTTTATCTGGATATCTGGTTTATCATGCACACGTCAGGGGTGCGATATATTAGGCAGCAAGTGAACATTTTGTTGTTAAAGTGATGATGTTTAGAATGGCAGGAAAAGCATTTGTCATAAATGTTCATTGGCTGAATTGGTGTATGTGGCTACAGTCAAGAAAAAGGACTGAGTTAGGAAAGTATTTTCTCCCATTGCAGGGGAATCATGCACTACAGATGCTGCGTCCCCGTGGCTGTGGCTAAGAGCCATACAGTACTGCAGTTCCTCTGGTAATTATTGGTAACCACAGCAGCCACCGTTTTGTTCGGGTAACACTGGGTTTAGGGGCACCAAGTTGTGTTTAAATAAAATAAATAAATAAATAAAAATTTGGCAATCAAAAATGATCAGTTATCAAAACATAATAAATAATAATAATCAATATTAATAGCTCTCCCGGAATAAGTCGAGTAAAACTATTTAGGTCAATTGGAGGGGAAAGAGTCTTAGTCGACGCCAGGGCCGGGAACGCGATGTTTCATTGCAGAAGGAGCAAACACCTGTAGGTGGCACCTTAAAGACTGCTTAATGGAAAAAGCCATATAGACAACCTATCGCTGGGAGGGGTAAAATGGAAAGAATGCAGATTACAATAAGCATCAGGTGGAAGTGGTTACGAGTGTTTACGACTGACCAAGAAGCAGGACCTGTAACTGGCCTTTGTCGCCAATGGAGGGCTGAAGGAGTGGTTGGAATGGACGTGACGCCTTCTTTGTTCTGGTTATAGCCCTAGGCAGTACTTTAGTATACAGTGCTGGTTTGTGAGTTTACTATTGTGCACCTATAGTTGGCCGTTTTATGGGCCATTACACTATTTCAATGGAAAAAACCAATTGTCAAAAGAAATAAAGGTTTGTTAAAAAAAAATGACAGGGCAAAGTCTGTCAATTATTCCAAGTACTGCAACATTGTCTTTAAAATAAACGGGATGCTTAAGAGGACTAATCAATAGTTCTATAGACAATCCAGTATCACGCTAATAACTGCTGATGTATAAAACAAAAATGAACTGCACATGAACAAATCAAAAACAAAGACTGTGAACTACACTGAACCCAAAACATGAATTTGGTGTTGCCCATGCAAACCATGCCATTGCAACTATTTAGGAGCAGCCCAAAGGATCTACAATTAAAAAAAATAAAATTAAAATTGTCCTCTTTAAATAGACTAAAGGAAAACAACCATTGTGGCAGGCATTTTTCCACAGGCAAGTTCTCTTTTTTGATTAATGTCAGAAAAAGGAACATAAGAAAAATATAATGGTTAGTGTGTGATTTAAGTTTTGTACTGGAAAATGCAACATTAATATGTATATTGCATAAAGGTTTCAATATTGATTATACAGTACAATTAATTACCCACTTATACACTAAGTTGCCAGGTTATTAGGTTCACCCATTTATATCAACAAAGGCAGATCAAATAAAGGTAAAACATTTTAAAATGTAACTAATTCCCACTTCAACATGTAGACACTCAGTTGATTCCCATTTCAGATGGTAAATTGAGCCCTAGGATTGTGATACTAAGGCAAAGGAAGAAAGACTGAACAGTTTTGGTAGACAGAGACACAACAGCTACTGCCGTCGGAGGATCTGGGATACTGGTGGTTGTAGCTTGTGAGCTGCTGGTGGATGTTTTCTGGACCGTGTAGGAACAGGACCCTACATTACCCACCCGATCCACAACCAGCAGTTCCACATCCGGCGAACAGCAAGACGCAATGTAGGACACCAGCGTTCTGTTCTCGTTGCCAGCGGCCAGGCTGGTGTTTAAGGTACCATTGCCCTGTCTGAGGCTAACACTGTCAACACCCGTCCCTTCAGCACCATCAGTCACCTGAACAGAGAGCTTCCACGTGGACAAGCTGCAGTTTTCAGAGCAATTTGACTGCAGACTGAGCAGCTCACACACCGGCTGAGTGAAATCAGTCACCTACGAAGAGAATAAAAAGATTTATAAAGTCAGGTTTTACATCAGCGAATCAACCAATAAACCTAATAATGAAAAGATTGAATAAGCTAGAATGATCATTTACAGCCTTAGCATTTAATGAAATGTATGAGAATTACCGTTCTAAGGACAGTGAAACGCAGAACAACATAGTTGGTGTCTGCGCCTCCCGGAGCCTCGGCCTCAATGGTCAGGGTTACGTCAGTACCAGACGTGGTGTTTATTGGTGCGGTGAGGTTCACTGTACCATTAGCACTGCCCCCAGTTTCCAACAATAAACTGGATGGGAAAGTTGAAGTAAAACCTTGATCATTGGTAGCTTTGATACTGAAGCTTCCTCCTGCACCACCCGTCGTCACAGTGAAGGGAACTGAAAGTGGCGTTCCTGGTACTAAGACACTCTGGGAATCACCCTAAAAATGTAAGTGAACAACTGTAAGAATTGGTCATATCAAGAAGACTATTATAGTGCTTATGTAAAAGCCATCTTTTAATTTTTCAATTTTACTTACAACAGTAACAGTCAGAGTAGAAGCTCTGATGTTGGTGGGCGACTGTCTTTGGAAGAACACTGAGGCTTCTCTGGTGGAAACATTGCTGTTCTGCCCCTTCACAAGCACCACAAACTCCTCTGATGGGATTCTGTCAAACTGAGCTAAGAAGTCTCCTCCACCCTGAGCCTCTACAGTGCCATTGACCTGTCCGGCCCCCGATGATTCAACTAGAATCACTTCTGTCACTGTGGCGGAGTCACTCCCAGTTACGGTCACCATCAGACTACCATTGACACCTTCATAAAAAGAAAAGATCCACTGAATGGTGCTGACGTAAATCAAAATACTTATCACATAATGCTTTTCACAAAATAAATTTCCTTTACCAGCTGTGGGACGATTGTCTACAACATCAAAACCTCCAAGCAGGCCCTGCGATACCTCCCAAAATTCAAACAGGAAGTCAATGGGACTCTCACCTGCAAATTTAAAAGTTACAACAAAAGAAAATCAACCTAAGAGGTCACATGCAAAATGACTAAATTAAACAACAAAATTAAGTATTCATTATGTGATTCAATCCACAATCATGGAGTTCTCACCTACGACCTTCAGATTGTAGGCATTTGTTGACACCATTTTAATTTCCCACAGTCCCACTTGTGTTTTTAGCTGCAGAGTCTGGAAGTTTCCCACTGACTGGGATGCAGTGATCAGTGATCCTGTTGTGTTAGAGCTTTGCTGAGATTCACCTAAAAGCAAAGCCATGGAAAGAAATGAAGCATTCTGGTTAAAAGGCCAAGAGTTATAGTTTCTGAATTCATTTTTACTATGAAACATTTAAATTTCTTAGATCTAGTGTAACACTCAATACTACCAGGGCCCAAAGTCAGAAATGTTCAAAGCACTTTGTATTCTCTATGCTAGTACAGCAAATGAACACTATTTTCCTTTTTAAATGACATGCCATTTATAAATGTTCAACTTATTAACTGTTACAATCATACAAATAGCACCTTTGAAATATTTAATATACAAAGAAGTATTACCTGAGGGACTGATGAGAGTAAAGCTGACAGAGCTCGCAGTGATGTACATTCTGAGGTTTTTTAGTGAATCGTCAACTGTGAAAGTAAAATTTTCAGCCTTTCCTGGACTCCTGGACGCCTGCAGAAGGGTCACCTAGGAGGTTAAATAAAACTGTTGAGACATTTTTTTTTTATTTATTTAAAAAAGTAATTGTTAATGGCCAGTGAAAGCATTTTGTTAATACCAGAGATGAGCTGGAGGACTCTACTATGATGCTGGTGGCCACTTGGAGCTCACTCTTTGTGACTTCAATAGCCTGACCTCCTGAAGCCTGAGCCAGGTCTCTGTACAGCTGAGCTTCTGATTTTACCATCCCGACTGTGTTGTTGCTGTTGGTCGTTAGCACTCTGTCTTTTCGACGACGAAACCCCAGAATGTTTAGTAATCATGAATCCAATCTGAAAAAAACAGGTGAATGAGAATTTGAGGTGTCAAAGCCCACTCATAGAGGCTTTAAGTTAACCAGATCAGAAAGGTGCTTATGTTTAGAATTCACAACACAACAACAACACATTTACTAAGTTTGATATACTGTATAAAAGTATTTTGAGAAGCTGTGAATATTGTATTTTTATTTCCTTATCTATACAATAATTAGATTTTTTGTATTCAGTGTGCAGGCCACTGTGTGAGCCATAGTGTATTACAATATGTGAAATTAGCCAACACAAAGTGCAATAATATTATAATATATGAAAAGTTATTATGTTATGCAATAACTTAGATGATTCTTTAACTTTTCATCTATTACCATCAACAGGTCAAACTTATTTGTTCAACACATTGGTTGATGACAAAATAACTGCAGACTAAAGACATTCCCTTCAGTCTGAGTGGTGTGTTTAGAGGTTATATGTAATTTTCAGAAAACTGTTGCACTTTGTACCTCAAGTATTTACTACAAGAGCTGGAAATACAGACATATTTTCATTTACAACTGAGGAGAGACTCTCAATTGGCTTTTTATATGTGACTTTTGTACATAATGCTTTTTGGTCATTAATATGTATGTTTTACAGATTTGCCTACACATTTACAGATCTGTATACGAAAATTTGTCTACATATTACAAATCTGAATACATATTCGTAGATTTTCAAATTCAAATTCTTTCATATGGCACCTTTAATCCTAATTAGCAAATGTTAATATGCTAACATGCTAAATTACATTAGTAGCGATGCCCAATGATATCGGCGCGTTTTGGGTATCAGCTGATAAAGGCTTTTCAAAAGAGTGCGAGGGTGCACAAGCCAAAGGTGACCTCACTAGATCCGTGGTAAAAGAGGGACAAATATGTCTATTAAAGTTTCTGAAACGAATAGCAAGGTTGCTATTTGCAATGAAGTGAAGAAAAAAGAGAGACATTAGCAGTCTTAAATCAAAGCCAAGCTGTCCTATTTTTTTTATTAATTTATTCAATTAATATATTATTGAGTTTAAGCAACAGTCTTTTAGGCATATGTAGCCTTTTAATTTAGGCTTATTAATTCAACAGCTATTAACAGATGGGAGATGGAACAAACAAAATATCTAAACAAACTTCAAATAAATTTTTCCCAAATATGTCTTCTGGCAAGTTCTTATTACGCTGATGTATGTGTAAGTGTTAATTTTTCTGATCAGCTTGGTTTTGGGGGGACTTTGATACCCTGGTGCCAACTTCGATCATTACTGTGCAGACTCTGGCTCCAAATGGCAAAAGATGTCAGCGGCTGTATCCGGGATATTATGCCTTAATCTTTGTAAAGTGGGAGGAAGTGGAGATGTAACGTGTATCTTTTATATGTCGAAGAGAGAGCCTCACTCATACTATCTACAGACTCATACAGGCAGGTTTATACCGTTTTAATTAAATTTTTATTTTACTTTATATACAGTTATTGCACTACCATTTTCCACACCATATGTTATTTTTACAATGACAATAAGATCACTCACCACTGACTTGGTGCGCTCTATGAGTGCTGTCACTGTGCTTTTCAGGTCGATATATTTAGCAGGTGCATCCGTGAAGAGGAAGATCTCAGAATTAGGAGGAGCACCAGTTAAAGCCAGCTATATGACAGGAGAGGACAGCAATGATACAGTAGTCTGACTTTTATTTTTTTATATTATCAAGTTTTGCAGAGGTAGATTTTGAAGTAGTTTAAACTACATCACTGCACCTGAAGCCCTGAAAGACTCATTTCCGGAAAATCTCCTCCACCATCTGCTGATAGTGAATTGATAGCATTCTTGAAGACATTTGGGTCTGTAGTCTTTATAAGTGGCCCAAAATCTGAATGGAGTTCAGGTGGAGACAGGAGAAAGAAGTATTCATACAGATTTTGCAATCATAATATTCCCAACAAGTATACATGACAGAAAAGGTCTGCTGCTTTATTTAATTGAGTTAGTTATAGTTTAGCAGGCAAACAGATAAAAAGCAAATTCATAAACTTAATAGTGCAAACATCCCTTAACTTCACTTCAGAGGAAACCTACCTGGATCATTGAAAGGTACCAGAATGTAAACAGGGGGCTC